CATGGGCAGTTTTGCCACCGCACGGTTCTCTTTTCGACTGACTTCCTTGAATAAGACGCCCTTCAATTTTGAGCATAAGGATTTTAGAAAAAAGTGTCTTATAGTCGGAAAAATACGGTAAATTAAGTTAATAACTAATTCATTGAGATGCGAATGTGATTTCTCCAACTAGCTTATTCAGGGATGAAATTTTTTCTTCTAGAATTAAGTTTCTATTTTCTGTGCTCTTCTGCATCTGTTCTGTAACCTGTAGCATTTTCATCAGATGTGCATTTTCCACATACAGGTCCTTCAGCAATAGATTAGACTTGGCATTTTTTTCAAACTGAAAAGGGAATGAACAATGTTTCATTACTTACTATTCAGTTACAGAATTCCACATATATTTTGCTATTTCATATATATAGAAGAGAGAGAGCCAGTTTGGTGTAGTGGTTAAAGTTATTGGGCTGGAAAATGGGAGACCATGAGTTGTATTACTGCTTTAGGCATAAAGCCAACTGAGTGACTTTGGGCCAGTCACTCTCACCCTAGGAAGAAGGCAATGGCAAATCACTTCTGAAAAATGTTGCTCAGAAAATTGCAGGGACTACCAACAAAAAATGAAAGCTATTAAAAGGAAGTAATAATAGTTTAGAATAGGTAATGGAATACATTCTTCACTCTGCTCTTTAATTTGGAGTTTGCACATAGGGGTAAGTGGAACAGAAATCTGCTTGCACGACATTCGATGCATTCTGTTGATTGAGAGAAGGCAGATACTTTAGGGTAATTTAAGGAACATACTGTAATGCATTCCAGAAAACTTTTGTTCCTGTATTTGTCTGTTTTAAAGCTGAAAGCAACAAACAATGATTTGTCCATTTCCAACCAACTATTTCTACTTCATTCATAGAAAGCAACAAATCTACCCTTGCACTCACTTGCTCCTTAATTTGGACCATCTTTTCCTGAAGCAAAATTTGTGTATTCTTCAGATTCATTTCTACTTCCCCCAACCTCTCCTCCATTATTCTACGTGAGTTTTCATATTCTTCCTGCAGACAAAGAACAACATAAATTGTGAGCAGCAATTAGATCCCAACAACAATTTAACCCAAACCGAAAGTTGAAAGAATGGCCCAAGAACAGTTGTTAATTGCTAAGTTGCTACAAGAGTCTTTAAAAAAAACAACAATATATTTCAGGAGAAATGGAGAAATAGCCTAAGCTATTCACCAGACATGTAAATTTAGTACTGAAGGTAGTCACAAGCCTCTCTGGAATTTCACTATAAATAGTTATGAGTCGTTTTGAATAAGAAACATTAACCACAAAATATTGTTCTCTGAGTCTTCTTGTAATACCAAACGTTAGTTATCTACAATCTGCTTTCAACACCGTTTTTTTGCTCTTGGCTATTAAGCAATTGCCCAGCATTTTAAACCACAATTTAAAATCATGGCTACTTTTTTAGTAGGTACAGAGACTGGTTTCTAGATTGTTTCTCCTGAGGAGAGAGAAAGGGGAATGTACCAGTCTGAGGCTTCTCTCAGGATGAGAGAAACCACATTGCTTGTGGTTTAGTTTTAGCTTAGTGTGTGGTGTGAATCTAGCCACTGTGGTTGTAAGTTTTGGTTTAAGTCTTAGAGGTGTGTCAAAAGGCCCAACTATGACTTATTCAACAAACCATGGTTAAAACACTGGCTTAGCATGATATATACATCAAGTCATTTATTTCTATTTATTATATCAGCAACTACATTTTTGGTAGGAACATAAGGGAAGGCTTAAATAAACTTCCTTCTTACTTGATAAATGGCCAGTTGCCATTTCATCTGTTCTCCCTGGAAGTTCAGATCTCCTTGCAACTTTCTAACTGTTTTCTGTTCTTCTGCCAATCTGGTTTCAAGGTCCACAAGATGGTCCTTAGGTATGGTTTTGTCCATCTGGGTTTTTACTTGTTGCAGCTGCTGTGCATGCTGAGACTCAGCTAGGCATAATCTTGTGTTGGCTTCTAATAGCTACATTGCAAGAAAAAAAAACAGACCACCACACTAAGATTAGCAGTACTGCAGAAGAAAAATCTAGCAATCAGTCAAGGTATTTGCATACCAAAATCCATTCTAAAAGTCAATTCCATTGAATATGTAAAATAAATGCTAATTCATTATTAATTGGGGGGGTAGAAAAGGCAATGGCAATGCAATGCAACTCCAATAGAACCTACTTTAATTCATCATTTTCCTTATTTTGGCAAAGTAAGAAAGTATAGTACCTTAGAAACTTCATTGGGCTTTCCTTTAACATAACAAATGGCACCATTTCTATTCCTCCCCAATAATATTACTTCCCCTCACTCTTTAAACTCATAACATGCAACGCCATCTTGGCAAATTTCTTCAGCCACGTGATCAATCTCTCACTTCAGTCTCTTTGCCCTAATCACAAGGAATGAAAGATGCTTCACCACTACTTTCTTTCAGAATTGCAGGGCCCTTGCAACACTCGCAGTGAGCTGATGGCACGCCATATTTTCCTGCACTGGCATCACTATCTTACCCAACGTTGGCATTCCTCCACCACCTCACTCATGCTTTTGTCAAATGTACCACCTGACATTCAAAGGATTTTATGTACTTTTCACTGGAAAAGATCTCTGATCCCCTCTATGAAAGAATGGTTAATTAAACTGTGGGGATATGATTTGATGTCTAGAATAACTTCCCAAAAATTAAATCTGATTAATAATTTAATCTTATTTGGAAACAATTTCTGGATTACAGTTCTATACATGGAATTGTGCTACACCCAAATTTGGGTTCTAAAGTTTATATTTTAATCAGACATATAATCTACACATTATTGAATATCTGCCTGCTGCCATGGGGCACACATTGCCTATCACTGCAGTACAACATTATGAAGTGTTGTGCTTCTCACAACAAAGTGATTTCTCTGCCTATATCAGCATTACCTTTTCCTTCAGTGACTTCAGCTCTTGGCTTAGCAATTCCTTTTCGCCCTGCCATGTCAACTGCTGCTGAAAATGTTCCTTTGTCAGCTCAGCAGAGGCCTCCTGAAGTTGCTTGGCTACCATAACTTCTTGTTCTTTTTGGCTCTCCAATTCAACAAACCTCTTATTCAGTATCTTGATTGTTTTCTGACTGGCTTTATTATTGCTGCTTAATTCAAAGAATTCATGGCTTAGCTGAGCAGTCCTGGTGTTCAGCTGTAGGATTTCCTCTTTGTAGCATTTGTTCTGAAACAAAATTTCAGGCATTCAGTGTTGTGGCAGTCATCATAAGCACGTCTGTGTGTGTGTGTGTGTGTGTGTATGCACACACAAGACAAGGTTATAAATTATCCAAAGCATCAGGTAGGGATGTCCTAGATTCCAAGTTCTAGAGAACTATGGTATAGCAGGGCTTGTCTTAAAACAAATCATTGTCATATCACTGCGGAGATTTCTTGGGAAGGTGGGGGAGGAAATAAAGGAACTCTCCTAGAATTAAAGAACTGACTGCTGTTTTTTTTTTAAATTACATTAATTAACTGAATTTTTTGAGGTAAGGCAAATAGTGTAAACCTATATATAGACTATCAAAGAAAAATCTATAGCTCTGAATTCTGAAAAGCTTTTGTAAGTTGTAGATTTGATTATTTTTAACAATTAACTTTTGAAAGTAGACAGTGATCATTTTAGCACTAGAAATACAAATTCAAATAGAGTTCAACAGACAGTTTTACTGGGCAAGCCATTGACTGGATTCATATAGTACATGAAGCCATTGTTTGTTTATTCAATAAACCATAAGCTGCCAAGTCAAACTCAAACAGAACACTTTATGGCTTAATACAATGTACAAATCCAGCCAATGTTTCTCAACCAAACCTTGACAGCCTTGATTACATGGATAAGATTAGAAGTACTGATACACAGACACTATCCAACCACTTTCTAAAGTTGCCCAATTCTTCTTAGTTATGTATGTGTCAGAATAATTATCACCTGACTAAGATACAGGAAAAAGAACTGATGAAGTTTATCTAGGAATTCTGCAATCAGCCTTATATGTGCACAGGCTATTTTTCCATAGAGTCCATTACTGTCAACTCTTGGGAAGACCCATGTATATTGCGTGCAAAAGGTCCTAGTTCCATCCCTGATAATCTCCAGATATGACTGGGAAAGGTTTCTTTTTAAAATCCTGGTGAATCAGCAACAGCACATTTGAAGGTATTAGCCACTTTCAATATTTCTATAACTGGCAGAAGTTCTTCAGGATTTCAGGCAGAGATCTTTCTCGTCACCTGCTACCAGATCCTTTTCCAAAGAAGGTGCCATAGATAAATCATGCAAAGCATATAATGGTTTCACCTTTCTAAAATGCCCCCTCCACCTCTTTTTGACTGAGATTTACAACTGCTTGGCTCTGTTTCGAACTTTCTAGTACTGCACTATGTTTCAAATTCAGACTCTGTGAGAAGGCAGATCAAGTTGTACTCTAACCACTTTATATATTTACCAGGTCATTTAATTCTTTTATTTCATACATTGCCTTCTCTTTTTCCATCTTCAATTCATCAATGTGCTTTCTGAAAAAAAGAAAAAAGAAACATTAATAACTAGCTGAAGCACACTTTGTGCATTAATATTATAATGAGATTTGGAATCACTCTAAAAGTTCTAATGATCTTTCATCCATTTACTGTAGCCCTATAATTCTTGGTTACAAGAATGGACCAAATTATGACAGATTTAACTGAGCCATGGCTAATTTTGATGGATCTGGCAGTATGCTCAAGTACACACTTTTGTTAAGGAGATTTCTATCAGAGAATGGGTGTTTCTATAAGATGAATATTCAGGAAATAGGAGATTAAAGGTAAACATCTGCTGCTCTACCCACGCATCTCTTCTGAGTCAATCCAGGTTGTATGTTTGAAACTGGCATTTTCAAGAAGGTTCACACTGGATCAAAGAGTCAAATTTCATACTCTAAGTTCATTCTGTGGTGCTAAATTTTTCCCTAAAGATTTGATGCAGTAATCTAGAAAAACATTTGGGGCTATTAAACTATGAACATTCATCTATCAATAACCTGCATTTGGGTGTAAATAAATTATCAGGCTTTAAAAGCATGTAAATATCAAGTAATGGGCTCCTTTTAAGAAATGGATTTATATCATTTAAGTTCTTACTGTTCATGTTCATACTTGGAGAAAGAATATTGTCCTTAATGTCTGAGAAGCAACTCTTGATCTAGCCAGGGGTCAGCAGCTGATCTGCAGTCACAACCCCACTGAAACAATTTGCTAGGAATTATCAAGGACCAATTGTGCCTTAGTCTGAAAGAATAGAGAAATTCTATTGGATTCTGAAATCACTAATCCCAACTCACTTAATCAATGATAATCAAGACCAGTCAAAGCCAACAGAACTTTAGATTCATGTTCTCTGGAAAGCAACAGGTTTAAAGTCATTATAAACTTTAAACTACCTAGGGGCTCCTACTCACTGTTTGCAACAGCAGTGAAAGTGGCTTGCAAAAAAAAAAAACGCAGAAATCAGCAGTTAAGTTAGCTCTGCAGTGCTAAAACATATTGAAAGTGATCTTCAAGACAAAAACTTTCAGAGTTGGTTTTATGACCAATAGATCAACTGCTTTGTTCCTCTCTAATCTTCCACCCTTGAAGCCCATGCTTTCATAAAAGCTAAGCTAACAATTGCTAAACACTTCTGATTTCTATTTTTCCAGCATTAATTGAGCATCCTCTATTTGCAAAGGAACAGTATGCGTATATTTCACAGCACCAACATAGTAATAGACTAAGCATTTACTGCTGAGATTGTCTCCTGCAGTTCAAGTCTAAAACCTAGGAAGAGCACCAAATTAAGGATGCCTGGCATAGCCAAACACTGCACATCTTTTTACCAAGTTTTAATTTCCCCCCTCCCCCTACATGTTTCTCCTCCTAAGTTAAGGCATTTCATGTGCAAGCTTTAATACACAAATGAAAAGAAAAATAATTACTTCTGCTTTTTGTTTGTCTCACCAATATCCTCTACTTCTCGCTGACTTTTCCCAAGTTTATTATTTAAGAGAATATTGTCTTCTGAAACCCTGTGCAGTTCCAGTCTGCATAGCAAAAAGAAAAGAAAAGGAGAAAATTGAAACTGAGTTTGTTCAGGGTATATAAGAAGTCCTTATGGTGTCTTGAGCACCATTTTTGCTGGAAAATGGGCTAAAAAAAAATAGATCATGCAAATAGACAACATTAATTCTCAGCTAGCCAAAGGTCTAACAGAAGGAAAGTTATCTCTTCCTTGAAAGTATGGATAAGAGTAATTTTACTAAATCACAATTCTTTTTTTTAAATAACATATTTTTGGATAACATTATTAAGTCCCTACTTCTAGCTACACCTTTTGTAATAAAGTACACTGCAAAACTAAATAGGATAATGAGATGTTACGTGCAGATTTTGTGTCTGTGATACTATTTGAAGGTTAAACGCTAAAAAATGCTACAAGCATTAACAAGCACTCTGTTAAACAATATCTGTGTGAAAAGGTGAGAAGATCAGCCCTACATTTCAGGAAAGGTATTTATCACTTTTCTTGTGTGCTGATGTCCCACCAAAATCCCGTCCTTGCTAATAATCCCTAAAGTAGCTTCCCCCAATATGGCACCTCTAGATAAAACGCAATTCCTAGAATTCCCAACCGACACACGTAAGGAAAAATTACTGGGTTCTTGTTTGTTCTCTGCGCTTGGCTTTTTCCTGCAGATGTTTCATTCCCAGGCTAGGTAACATAATCAGTGCATGGGACAGTGACATTTGCTGGTTGTTTACACAAGTAGCTTGGCTTGCCAGTCTTGCTTGGGATGTGTTTTTTTTTCTTGATGGTTCCTTGAGTGGGGTATTATTTCTTTCCTGATTGTTGGACAAAAGGAAATATTTTTTTTCCACAATGTATAATTAAACTCTGGAATTCACTACCAGCAAATTCCACTTTCCCATGCACTGGTAGCTTAGCCTGATAACATCCATGCTCAGAGAAGACCAAAAACCCAACGCCAATTCACTACTCTTTTAAGCAAGAATATATAAGGCAATAAATGATTGTGGTTCTCTCAGAAATGTTCAGACTTCCATAGAATTTGGTTTCTCCACAACTATCTGTAGAAACTATCCAATCCCACAAGGAATTTTACAGTCTTTCACCATCTCACTTTTGTCTTAACTATTATTGCCACCTCAGTTCAGTACTACTTGGTTTGTCAACAGCATCAGGATCCAAAGAGATACCAACTAGCTACTTCATAGTTCAGATGATCACATTTCACAGAAATAGCCCCATCTTTTTGATATGTGGCGAGCATAAAAGTGTCTATACTGTACTACACAAAGTTGTATTATTATTGAAGAAAGATTTTGCTATGGCTGCTTTTTATTGCTCTCTTCCTAAGCTGTCCCAACAAGTGGCAGCACTTGTCTAACCTTGGCTGGGCTTTGAAGCCAAGCAGGGTAGTGCCTGATTATACTTGGGTGGGAGGGTACCAAGGAATATCAGGGCTATAGGCTAGACCAGGAAGCTGAAAAACATTCTAGAAGAAGGCAGTGGCAAACGACTTCTCTATTATTGCCAAGAAAACTGCATCAAAGGGTCCATGAAATCACCTGGAATTATGCTTGACTTGAAACAGTTTTTACCTTTTACCTTCCTTTCAAAGATTCACTTCATCTTTCTAACATAGCAGAATTTTACATACATATATATCAAGAATTACTATTGGTATTGGCAACTACCCATATTTAGAATCCCAAGAATATAATGCCCTCAGACCTCATAAAACGCATCTCCATTTCATGCTTCATTTTCGAGTCATCTTCCAATCTTTCCCTTTCCTGAGCCAGCCTCTGTCCTAAGTTTGAAATTTCTTTGGCATAGTACTGCTCCATTTCTGTCCTCTCCTTCTCAAATCTCTTCATTTCTTGGATAGGATCTAGTTTCTGAACCTGGTTTTTCAAACCATCAATCACTTCCTGGCATTTCACATTCAACTCTTCCAGGGCATGCTTCTGTTCTTCCAATTCACTAATCTTGATCTTGAAACCTTGTTCAATGTCCTTCCTTTCTTTCTCAAAATTATTTTTTATTAGTTCTATTTCCCTCTCATAGTAATTGACCTAGAACAGTAAATTTAAAAAAATATATCAGTGCAGAAACCATTTCAGAATATTTATTTCAAGTTTAAATGATTTCCACACACAAGAAATTTGACATTTCCAATGTGTGGAAATCGCTTTCTAAAAAAAAGGGTATCTTGTTCTTCCAGAGTTTGCATGGTCTGCAGGAATTAATATAAAATGTGTTGTCAATTTGTTTAGACCATGCCTGCTCTCCACTATAAAATTACACTCAGAAATCCTTTTACTCAGCCATAGCATGGCTCCTATAATGCTATCATTTACTAGAGTGATTTCAAAAAGCTAAACTTTCTAAAACAGTTTAAACTAGCTTATATGAATTTAGATATAAACATTTACTCAGATTGGAGAAATGGTGATTGCCATTGTACCAACAAAACTTAGAAGAATGTGGATAACTCAACAGTGCCTCTATTGAAACTAGTCTGTGGAATGATTACATGCAAAAATATTGGGTTCTACTGATTATAAGTGCTGTACTTATAGACTGAATACTAAGTATCGAGTCTTCCTACTCACCTTGGTTTCTAGCTGCATTTTCATATTTTGATTCTGTTCTTTTAACTCTTCCACCAGAAGTTCTGTTTCTATACTTACTGAATAGGGATCAGATGTTATGAAAGTGTCATCTATATGTAAAATTATTATTACAAAAACAAAGAGACAAGAAAACAATCACTGGTTAATCCCTAGCTACAAGAGTAGTGGGTTAAATTATGGAGATTATATTACAAAATAAAACAACTGGGGGAAAAAAATAACCACAGCCATGAAGACAGCTGTTTGGGAAAACCATAGGGTCTGCATATTTGAAAGAATCAAGAAAAGATGGACAAATTATAAGGTAATCTGATACTGATACTTTACTCTTAAGGGAATGGATTGGATTAGATTAGGGTTGTTTAAACTTTAGGATGCTATAGTACTAGGGGTTTTTTTTAGAAAATACAGACAAATATGATTATACATCCCTTACCATTTTGGCCTTTGATTGGTAAATGCTGGTATCCAAGAAGATGATCATCCCTTTGAATGTTGTCTTAAAAGAAACATATTCAATAATTAAATGTAGTTAAAAACTGCTTTAATATGGTAGAAAGTAGAAAAGAGAACCTTGTAGTCTTCATTTTTTAGCTGTAGAAGAAATCAAGATTGGATGCAATAAATAATAAAACAAATACATCTTTAGCTCTAGCACTTAATTGTAGCAGCAGGACACCCAGAGTAAAGCAACAGCAGTAACACAGCAGTGTCTGCATTCAGGTGCTTTCCCTAACTTGAAGTGGGGAAGAAGAGTCATTGAACAGAAAGCATTAAAAGCTTAACGCCATTCTCACCATTTGGCAGGCCTTAAATATATCCTTGCATGAAGAGAGTCTTTCCCATCCTGGTGAAGTCCAGATATGTTGAATCATCTTCTAGAATTCCTCTATGTGGGCAATTCTGGGAGCAGGCATGCAATACATCTAGAGTTCAGCAGGATGCAGAAAGCTGTTCTGAACAACTGTGCCTGACTTGCATTACCCACCTATAACTCTAGTTTTTTCACTTCCAGGCAAGGGCCTTTCTCCAGTGTTGCTGGTCTTCATTTTATAGCATGCCAGATTAGGCTTCTTTGCATGCAGCTGGGATCTCAGCTTTTCCACCTCCATCTGCAGCTCATCGTTCTTGTCATGCAGTTCCTATAAGCAGGCCAGAAAACTACAGTGAAACATGGAGAGTAGCCTCTCTTAGATGTATATGGTGGGATGCACTGCAACTCCAGGACTCAAGAGAATATCCACATTTGCTTATAAATAATTCTTACACAAATAAGATAATGCAGAAAACTCCAGAATTGTATTTTAAAAACCCCAGAAAGAAGAGAGGAAATTCAGCAACCACAGAACAAGCAGCCATAGGTTTCATCCAAGTTCCTTTAAGTACAGTTGTGGTTTAATGATGAGAAAAACTAGTTTAGGTCAATTTTCAAGACAATTGAACCATCCTCTGTTATAGAGTCTTCAGATAGTTTGACTGGGCCCTTTCAAGCTCGTGGGCATGTTGATATCACACATTTCATTGCATCCAACAAAATGTGATCAGAGATACATAGTTACATACATTCAACTCCCTATAATACACTTTAACATGGGGGAAATAGTAGCAATACAGCTTGACCCAAAGGTAACTATGTCAATGGGGGTGAATTCAAGCTGTAAACTCATGGATACAGTATAACATAAACCCATACTTTTTTTCCCCCTTTTTCTGTGGGTTAAATGTTCACAAAATAGGCTGACCTGGAGAGAATGTTCTTTTTTTCTTCCGGGATTGGGGGAATAAAAATTTTATTTTAGGACATACACTACAAGTTTATTGAGTTTGATAGCACCATCAATTTTGCCAATCATGTTCAAGAGGGGCTCTGGGGGCTGCAAAGCAAAAAACCCTCAGAGCCACAAGGTGTCCTGACATAATATACTGTAAAACTAAATCTTCGACAACCAAACAAAATTCTAGTTTGGTTTAAATATATAACAGGGCTGTTTTCTTCATCCCATCAGAATAAGGCAGCTTCCTCTACTATGAGTGAATTATTCCAGATGTTAGACCTACTCCTGTGTCTTTCTTATTTACTACTACATGCAGTGTCAATGTCAGAGTCTGTGATTTAGGCTACAGTTCTGCAATCTACATCCTGCACTTCTCCTTGAATCTAATCTTGGAGAAGCGTGATTTATTAAGCCAGCTTTGAAATATTCTTTAAAATGAATCTGGGAACAAACCTGAAGAAGACCTGGAAGACGCAAAGATAGAGGCTGAAAGTCTAAATGGAGCTATGCTGATGGCCAGTTTTTCTGTGCTACTAACACCAGCTCTTGCTCAGTCTCCTAAGGGATAAGAACGAACTCCAATAGTGCTGACAAAGATGTAATGCATCACACAGCAGCCTAAAAACAGAGGGCCTGTAACTTTTCAATGCTCCTTTTTAATGTAACACTGCATGTGAAACTAACACTATTTATTTTATTATTTACAAAAGGTTGTGCTTGCTCTTTACAGCAATGTGTATTCACTGTGTATATGGCTACGTATATGTGTATGGGGCAGGAGGACATGCAAACTTCTAACCATTCCTAATCCAAGAGTCCCATTAGCATAAACAAGCACCTCCCTTTGAGAACCAATTTGCTGGCCAAAGCACCCAAAGCCTACGATTCTGCCAATGGCTACAGTCCAAAGTACATTTGCGGGCCTCTACAGATTCTATTCTGTATGTAGAAAAGCATTTCCCTACATAAAGAAGCTACAGTGGGGCAAAAAAGTATTTAGTCAGCCACCAATTGTGCAAGTTCTCCCACT